GTAAAGCCACACCCACCCATTATAGGAGCGATTTCTTTATCAATGGCTCAGCTGCTGTTTATGGCCCAGGAATATGACCTTTCATCTCTTTAACCAATTGTGTCCTCAAGTCTCGATAAATGTTGAGTTAGGCCAAATACATAGAATGGTAATCTCCAATATCATCTGCCATTAGGGTCAATTTAATAAAATGCACAATTTTTTTTTTAAATTTAATGGTATTTTTTCCAGAGAGCTTTCATTTCTAACGATTGGTTGTATTTTAAGGTCTCCTTCACACTGGCGATTACATGAATTCAGCAGAAAGAATCGGTGGGTTCATGCGGCTGGGATGACAGGTGCATGCGAATAGCAGCGACTGCTCAGCCTGTACAAGGTAATGATAGGCTGACAGCAGCCATTGCTATTTGCATGTAAGTGGTCTCCTAGATTGTAAGCTCGAAAGAGCAGGGCCCTCGAACCCCTCGTGTATTGTTTTGTTACTGTATTGTCTCATTCTGTCCCCCACTATAATGTACAGCACTGAGCAAACCTTTTGGCGCTATATAAATACTGTATAATAATAATAATAATAATAATAATTAGGATGCGTCCAGGCCAAAACTGATGGCCAGTTAGTATACTGCCTGAAATCCTCTTACATCGTGGTATGTCTACTCACGTTTTAAGTATCTTCTATTGATGATGGTTTATAATTTGGGGAGGGACCAGGGAAGGGGAGTCTTTTTAAGTCTGGAATATTCCCTGTTTTTCAGTCCATCTGGCTTCTAGGCTAAATAGTGGAGGTGATCCATCTTCAGTCTGCTGATGGTATTCCGGTCCCTTGCTTCACAAATAATGGTTGTCCCCATGTGTCTTTTAGGCCTATACAGTGGACGTGTCATTTCACGCGTGGAGGTAAAGCTTTGTTAGAACTTTGGGTCTGGTTTACAATATTATTCTATAATGCAGAGATGGGTTGCCTCTGTTAAGGCAACTTTGACTATTTTCTACATTTTGGTCTCTTGCAGGCCTGTGGTGCTCCCTATTACCATACCTATTAGCTGGAAAACTACGATAATGATGTCTAACGTTGCCCTGCACCCTTGACCTATTATCTAATCTTAGTTGCACACTGCCCGTGATTCCTGTGGGGTGTTCTTGGTTGCCCATTTGCCTGTTTGATGTGCCCCCGCATTCGCTGTAGGGTTGCTGTTCTGGTTGGTTGTGGGGACCTGCGTTGCTGCCTTGAGTAGTCCTTTATCATACAATACACACTGTTTATATTTTCATGTAAGTGCCTTATAGGCAGTATCCATCTTGTATTTGAAGTCTATTGGTAATGTTTGCAATGATTACTTGTAAGTTTGTCCATTTTTTACATGCATTGCTAGCCCTTGTGGAAGCGACCCCGTCGCAAAACATGTCGTGCTTCAACTAAACAGCTCGGATACCCTCACTTAGAAGTAAGTGGATTGTGTTTATCACCTCTACAATATTTCTAACGGAAAACCGTATATTCTCTTTAATTGAGGGGGGAAATGCTGTGATTTAATGTGCAATGCATATGAACAATTTTAAATATGCAAAATATATTTTAGATATGGTATGTTAATAAAGTAACAATTGTTTTTACTTTCTGTGTACTGAGTTTATGTGTCTAAAAAGTCCATAAGCAATCTTTGATACAACTGATCCTTCAATCGGGACGTGGCACTATGACATTTCCTTTGTTGTGACCTCTAGCCACGCGATGGTCAACCTTTTTTGTTCAACTCTAGAAATACTACCTGAAATGCCATCCCCTGGACACAATGGGGTTGATTTACTAAAACTGGAGAGTGCAAAATCTGATGCAGCTCCAGGTTTTATTGTCAAAACTTAACTGAACAAGCTGAAGTTAGAAGCGGATTGGCTACCATCTTTAGTAAATCCCCCCAATCTGTCTGCATCCAGGGCCAGTCAGAGTTCATAACTGAATGTATCCGGTAGGATGAGCAGTTTCATGCAAACAGCGGTGGCATTGGCCGATCATTTACACAGGGTAAAGACCTGGCCATGCCACTGATAGTCACAGCTGTTCACACACACAGGGGGATATTTACTAATACTGGTGCACACAGAATCTGGTGCAGCTCTGCACAGTAATCATTTTGGTTCTAGATTTTATTGTCAAAGCATAAAGCAGTATTAATAAACCAAAAAAAAAAAAAAAAAAAAATTTACAAAAAAATGTCCCCTGCAAAATAAAAGCATAATGTGCTAGTGTGCATTGCATACTAGCACAATATGAAAGAGTGACATTAGAACAAAACCCTCCAGTGGCACGCTGTCACCACTGTCAGGGCTTCCATCTTCACTCCGTCTTCCTTCCGGGTTTCGGCTTTTGACTGGCTGAGCCACGATGACGTCATGGGCGGGCACAGCTCTCTCAATGACTGGCACATTCTGCTTTGCAGAGAGATAGAAAGCAGCATGTCCCTGCTGACAGGAGAGAGACCTGTTTTGTTTACAGGTCTCTCCACTGCCAGTTTCTCCAGCGATCGCTGAGTCCCGGCCATGAATCGCTGGCCGGGACCCGATGACTGACAACTCTGGAAACCAATGACAGCGCAGGCAGGGTAGCATGCGTGCGCGCCTTCTACCCAAAAATGAAAAATCATGTATTTATACGTGATTCTGCACAGCGGGTTGCCCTGTAGCAGTATATCTTAAATGGTTAAATATAATATAATATAAATAATATAATTTGCATTTGGCAAATTTAGTATAACAAAACCTTTAGGGCTCGCTCACACCAAGTCCATTGAGTTGTGTTTTTCTGACCATCTCCGCACATGAATAGTGTGAACAGGACAATAACTGGCTTCTATGTGCCATGTTCACATCATACATGTGCGGTTGTGTGCAGAAAAATACAGTTCAACAGATATGGTGTTAATAAGCCCTTGGAGGGTGTTAATAAGCCCTTGGAGGCTTCTATATTAATTTGTACTTACATGGAACTTGAGTTCTTGAGTTATACGTCCTTAGCCACCACTAAGACTTGACATGGGATGTAAGGCTTCACACACAGGCAGTAACCACATATTTACCAGATGGTCATGCACAGTGCGTGCTGTAGTGCCATTCTTTTACAATAGGACCCCAATAGAACTGTACATGAGCTGCCAACACACCAGAAGTACAGAGCACCACAGTCCCCACAGTGTGCATTGTGGTTCCCTTTGCTGGTGAAAAAGTTGCAGATGCGTTTAGGTGCGTCAGAATAATTGGGTTGTTTTAATCCCCAAAGCACTTAAGTTATGGGATGCACAAGTGGAAAGAAGACCTGAATCTGAAGGGTTCCTTTGGAGAAAATAACCCCAGTTGATACACAAGGCCCTTTAATCAACAAATAACATAGTCATAACTATACTAAGGGCTTTGTTTTTGCGAATTGATGCCAGGCAGCATAAAATAATATACAGGCGTTTACAGTAAATAACGTGACAATAAAATATTCCAACATTCTTTGCATGCAACTGCCTCACTCTGAGGGCTGAGCTGGGGCTAATGCTAGCCATACAATAGTCAAAAAATCATTCAAACTGATTTTCGAATAACGAACACGGTCGTGGGAGCAATCAATATTGCCATCATGTAATGACTGAATTTCGAATGATAAATCAGTCAGTGGACATAAATTAATGTTTTTGTTCGTTTTGTCACAATATGCACAGTTTTATTTATTTTTAAACGCGCGAGAAACACATTAACCTTTCACATTATCGTCCGTTCAGAAGCAGTTTTCCAACCTTCTCCTTTTTTGGCTAAAATAAGTGAAAACTGATTTTCTAATTTTTCTCTATTACCTGGCGAAAAATGAACGAATTAATCAAATAATGGATTTTCAAACCATTTTAAGTCTAGTATATGGCCACCATTATTCTCCTATGCTTTAGTTACTTGTGAAGCAGATAACATCAAACCAGCGCAGTCAAGGGAGGCAATCCCTGGAATTCATAAGGTGTGTCATAGAATCTGTCTCCCGATAGTACGACAAATAGTTATTTTTCTCGACTTTACTTATCACTGATATGGCGGTACTTCTTTAGGAGTCTTCCTGGTAGGTTCATTGGCGCCGGTCTAAATTGGCCCTAGTACGTGTATTTATGAATGGGGGATAGGGACCTTAGATTGTAATCTCCTCGAGGACAGGGACAGATGTCAATGTACAATGTGTAAAGCTCTGCATAATTTGTGGGTGCTTTATAAATCCCTTTAATAAACACACAATAGCGCCATACAGTAAAAGTGTTTTATATATATATACCAGAGGCGGACTGACCATTTGGAAACTCGGGCACTGCCCGAGGGCCCAGTGTCAGTAGAGGGCCCCATGAGATGCTCCTGGTACCTTTTTCATAGGCTTTTTTGAGTTTGGGCAAGGACACAGGGGTCCCATGATCCCCTATTGCCCGGGAGCCCCATGAGTGGTCAGTCCGCCCCTGATATATACAAACAACTTAAATTTGTCCCACACATCAGTACGGACATTGCAAAGGGTTTTCCTGAGCTACATACACACCTGCAGAAACGTGTCGCAGATGTTTTACTGAATCACAATAAATGACTTTAGAGACACACACAGCTGTTCTTATAAAGCCTAAAGTTTGCCATATACTAGCAGAATTTCAATAGATTCTTTCCAGAATGTTCGTTTGATTTTCTAATTGTTAGTAGGGTCAAGTCAACAATCTTTTTTTTTTTTTTTTTTTTTTTTTAATACACTGCCTGATGTGGTTTTTAATTTGGAAATTTCATTCATCAAATGAACGCTCATCTTTTTTTTTTTTTTTTTTTTTTTTTTTTAAATCACTGATGAATTTTTCATATGAACGCTCATTCAAAAATCTACCAGTGTATGGCCAGCTTTAGAAAACTACTCAGAGAGTGTTTTTTTCTTATACAACTCCTTCAAAGAAAGAAAACAGCCATTAAAATCAGAGGTGAGAAGGTAAAAAGGAAATTGAATTTACCTACGGAATCAATGTCCAGGATGCGCTGTAGGTCGCGAATGCTGTGGATTTCGCTGTGAGCCAGTTTCTCTATCAGCTCCTGAGGGATCTCTGCTTCCTTCACATAGCCAGGGAAGAAACACATTTCAAATACAGTTCACAGTCACTTCCCATTCCCAGTGATTATCCACACCCACTACAAATGTACAGCGTGCATCCCAGTCCCTCCCTCCCGGGTGAGCATGCTGCAGGATAAAATACATGCATGACGGGGCACAACCAGCACAGACACACAGCTCGGGTAGACACTCTGTATTCTAGCACCAGGCCTCAGATGGCGCTGGATCAAGGGTTGCTCTAGCTTCCGTCAATGTGTGAAAAAGGCCTAATTATCTTCAATGTCACCAGGGGAAAGTGCTGCAGATTTCCTATTACAGTCACAAAGGAAAACAAACGTCAGCGTCACTCATTTGCTTCTTACGCCTTATTTACACCTTCTGGTAGATTGCCCGGGTTACCTTTGCTCTCTAACTCACTTTTTTTTGTTCCCTTAGTAAAAGCCGTCTTTGATTGTCTCTGCCTTTCAACAGCAGGTACTTCATAACAGTAGCAGAATGCTGTAACGTGTTAGCCATCGATCAATGCAGAAGGTCTGCAGTTGAAGTGAAACTCTTTAGGGCTCATTCACATGGAGGTCTAAAACGCAGCATTTAGATGCTTACAGCATTTTTTTTTTTTTTACGCATCTAAACATGGCACTGTAGCAATCAATGGAGCCATACACACCGTTACATCTACAAATGAAAATGTGCACCGTGTTTTGCGGGCATACACCAAAAAAAAAAAAAAAAAAGTGTAGGACACAGCTGCATCCAGGGCAATACATATCTGTAAATTTTATGTGTGTGGACACATGGACATACATAAAGTCATTAGAAGAATTGTACATGTCTAAACTACGTTTTATGTGTGTATTTTACGCTGGATCTTCCACTAGCAAGAACCTGTGTTCAGTGCAGAATATATGCATGTGTCCGTGTGAACGCATGAACTTATTCGCTAACGTGAGCTATAAAAGATGCAAATTTTCAGGATAACTTATGATGACCACACATGCTTCAACTTTTGTTTTTTTAATGTTTTTATTCTAACCAATCAAAGCGACCAAATGCACAAACAAATTGAACAGCCATAACTTACCTTTCGATTATTTTAGACTGGATTTGATCATATTGAGTTCATCACCAAAAGCAGAAAATGATTGATCGATTGGCTTTGACCAGCAGCACTAAGATACGCTGTTCATAAATACAATCTTATTTAGATTAATCACATTATGAGATTGCATGGTAAAAGAGATGCAATCGATCATTACAAAGTTCTGATCATACCTTGACCAATCGATTGAAACTCACTTCCCCATGTGTGGCCAATTGACTGAATGGGTTGTTGATTATAGATTGAAAGAAACAGATTTTTGGAAGGTGTATATCGCCATCGTGTATGGCCACCTTTGGATCCTTTCGTCTGACCAGGGGCGGACTGACAACTCATGGGGCCCCTGGGAAATAGGGGATCATGGGGCCCCTGTGTCCTTGCCCAAACTCAAAAAAGCCTATGAAAAAGGTACCAGGGGCATCTCATGGGGCCCCCTACTGACCCCGGGCCCTCGGGCAGTGCCCGAGTTTCCAAATGGTCAGTCCGCCCCTGCATCTGACTTTATATAAAAATCCTGATGAAGGGATCCAAGTTATCCGGAAAGCTTGCATTTTTTATAACTCAAGTTAGGCAATATAGGGTATGATTCAAACTTGAAAACGGCAGTTACTTGGGAGGTTACCTGTTGCCTCCTGAGAAAGCATCTACAAGGGTGATTTTACATGTATCTAGGTAGTTTTCCTACTTGGTACTTGGTGACTTTAGGGATGCTGGAAGATGAAAAAACACTGCGTGTCCTATTTTCCTCTTCAGTGACCATGAAAGCTCTTTCTTTGAGGTGCCGTTTTTCTTTTCCTGCCAAGTACAGTGGGGGGATAGGAGTGTATTGAACACGCTGGTCTTAATACGCTGCTATCCCCCCCCACCGTACTTGGCAGGCGCAGAAAACAGCAAAGCCAGTAAGACGTGAAGTATGATATGCCTAATACTGCAGTAATGTCACTAGGTCCTGGTTAATTCACACTGCGTCAGCTTATTAGAGGGCTTATAAAATAATAAAGAACAATGATATGCCAAACCCTACAGCAAGCAGTCACAAGGCAGCTTTCATTTGCCTGCCTGCACCAAGCAGCTAAAACACAATTTCTGATTGGCTGCTATAGTTTATTGCATATCGTTGCTCATTGCACTGCCAGTAACATGTGAAAATAACAATTGAAATTTCATTTCTAAACATTTTTGCAAATAAAGCAAACATTGACATGAAGAGTTTACAAATATTCTCTGCTGTTTAGCCCCAAGGCTGACTTCCTGCAAGAAACTGTCTGGAAATGAAGACACAAAGAAGAAACGTAAAATTGGCCATATAGGTTACACAGGCAGCTACAAGCCAACTCTAGTCAGAATAATAAATAACAACTATCCTAATAATAAAAAATACAAATACGGGGTTTCCCAGGTACAGTCAATGATGTATGGCATATGGGCTGTAAGCTCTTCAGTCAACAAAAAAATGGTTTATTCACACACTTCTTTTTTCTAATTTAGGCTTTAGTACGATGGGGCTATGAAACGTAATTATTATTTTTTTTTAATTGGGAACAGGTTTAAAGGACAGCACATTAGCACAGTGGCCTTGTAGAGCTCTGGTGTTGGGCTTATGTCCCACAAGGGGCACTATCTGCTTTAAGTTTGTATGCACTCCCTATTTGAATGGTTTTCCTCTTGGTGCTCTTGCAGTGGTCCTGGGCTTTTCTCCTACCAGGCAAGAAGCACAATCCCACTACACACCATTCAAAAGAAGAAGCAACATTAGGCAACACTAATGGCAACCATAGGATATGATCATTTGTCAGCACACTATAATTCATGCAAACTTGTCGACTGACTGCAAACATTTTGGAGCTGCACAGGGTATGTGTGACCAGGTGACTGACACCTTGAAGAAGAAGTCCTACGTAACTCAGAACTTTTTTTGCATGAATTGAGGTGTGATGGCAACATATTCTATGGCAGGGTTTCTCGATCAAGGTTCCATGGAACCCTGGGGTTCCTCCAGAGGTTGCAAGGGGTTCCTTGAACAATTAGCAATTTCTACCTCTCAGATAAGTTCCAACTGACACCATTGTTCTTCTTAGCTATCTATAAGGGGGTAATTCTTCCCAATGTCTATAAGTGTAAGGAGCATTCTTCCTAAAGACCATCACACTAATGTATCACGAGTTGTAGATATACTAATTTTTAGCAGGGGTTCCCTGAGACCAGAAAGTTAATTCAAGGGTTCCTCTGTGCTGAAAAGGTTGAGAAAGGCTGTTCTATGGTATCTCCTACCAGAAGCACACCTGTCTAGAACAACCTGAATTCCATGGAATCCTGGGGTTCCTCTGGAGGTTGCTAGGGGTTCCTTGAGCAATGAGCAGTTTCTGCCTCTCCGAAGAGTAACCATGGACAGCAATTATATATTTAGGTAAAAAAAAAAAAAAAAAAAAAAAAAAAAAAAAAAAAAAAAAAAAAAAAAAAAAAAAAAAAAAAAAAAAAAAAAAAAAAAAAAAAAAAAAAAAAAAAAAAAAAAAAAAAAAATCTGTAAGGGGAGGATTCTTCCCACTGACCACAAATGTAAGAAGCATTCTTCCCAATGGCTATCACACTGAGCTGTTGAAATAGAAATTATTAGCATGGGTTCCCCAGAGCCAGAAAGTTATTTTAATTGTTCTTCCATATTAAAAAGGTTGGGAACGGCTGGTCTAGAGTACGTATGTCCTCACCATGCTTGTGTGGCTTTCCACTAGGTGCTCTGGTTACCTCCCACTGTCCAAATGCATACTGGAAGGTTAACGCGCTCAATATTGCATGAGTGAATGTGGTGGGAACATTAGCTTGTAAGTGCCTCTAGGGCAGGGACTAATAGTAATGTGTAGTGCTCTCTACAGTGTCAGCACTATATAGCTGAATAGTAGAATGTGTTTGCAACTCAGCAACTCTGTCCTGATATATATATAAAAAAATGTCTACATAGTAGAAAAGACCGGTGGCTTTGGAGATCACCAGTTCCACGTAAAACACCATTAGAGGAAAGGGATAGACAAATAATTAAAGCCAACCATAACAGCAACATTACATTTTTTTCTTTACATTTTGAGGAGGGGGTTAGCATGGTTCACAAGCCTGACGGTCAAGTGAGTACAACCTCCCCAACACAATCTACCGTCTGATCTCAAGTCCCCCCCTGAAAACCTACAACAGTCACTTCCACCCAACACTGCATCAAAAAAGTCTTAAAGTAAAAAAAAAACCCTGCCATTATAGATAATACCCTCATAGGCGACAGGATTTACCGTTTCTCTTTAAGAACCCTGGGGATACATATTACAGTCTATAACACAGCCTTGAAACTTTATCAGGTCTGGCCCAGTTCTCACACACATGCGACAGCATGGTTATTTTGCAACCTCACCAATAAAAATTCATTATTAACCTTGTCTGTGCTGGGGGGCACGCTTCATACACCAAGTTATCCATGTCCCTCCACACCGCATGCCAAATTTACAATGAAACAGACACAAGGTATACATACATCCATTAGCAGATCTAGACGTAAAGAAATACATATGCCATTTTTTTGAAGGCATAATCATAACTCGCAAAAAGATTTTTGGTATATGGTACCAAGTGCAGCATTTTTTTTTTTAGCAACCGGTCAGAATTGATCTTTTATTGATTTAGAATTTTGGTTGCGATGGACCATCGTATATCAATTTTACTCTTTGTATCTTTTTTCTTTTATACAAGCCAGACCAGCAAAAATGTAAAATCCATATTTCATCTAGTTTTTTTTGAACTTGGTCTTGTGTGGCCAAGGCACAAATGCGGGGATCTAGGGAAATACTCCAATTCCCTACCTGCTAATTAATTTTCCAGCAAACCTGGAAAAAAAATGCTATAAATATTAAAAATGAAGAGGAGTTGACCTGCTTTTCAATAGCACGG